TTTTTATAGCCCAATTAACATATGTCGTTCATTTTAGTGAGATGCTTAGATCTAATCCTTAAGGATTTTTTCATTTCTAATTTTTTTGGATGGCTTTATTATCATTAGATGAACAATGTTAAAAAATAAAAAAACGATTTTCAATTTATAAAAGCTAAGATCTTGAAATTCACCAAATGAATACTCTAGATTTGTTTTTGGAGGGGACTCACTTTGATCATATCTAGGGTTCAAATTGAACTTTTTTTTTTTTTTTTTTGGGATTGATTATTGAGATGAAGAGTGTATGTGCAAAATTTTGAGTCATACAAATACCACAAACATGGTTTTCTAGAAGTGTCGTTGCATTATACTATGATACAACCGTTGTATGAAATCACTGCCCAAAATAAAGGCACCCTGTACAACAAAAAATACATTACTATAGATAAAAGTAATGCATTATTTCCTAGTCAAAATACCAGTTGTATTTCCCAGATTTCATCCAATCATAACCAAACAATAGTAATGTATTACCCAGATTGCATCCAGATGCTATCCAAACAATGACAATCAATTTTCAAATAACATATTACGTCAGTAATGTATTACACCAGTAATATATTTTTGAAACAATATATTTCCAAGTACCCTTAGTCTCCCCAAGGGCCATCTCGAAAATCTCCTCTAATGACGTTCCAATCCCTAAAAGACGAGGGCAAATGGTTTGGACCGAGTCCTTCAAATTTGAACTGACATGGATGTCGGACAAACTCCTACTCTTATTTATTAAGAATGTTTGGGCCACTACAAAAGGACATGGGTGGCAAGGCTTCAATCTGATGAAGAAACTGTGGTTTATCAAAGATGACACGAATAGGGAGGTGAAGCACTCTGGATAACATCCCAACAAAAATTTATACCATCACAAGACAAATCCATGCACTGGATATGATGGGCTGGGGCCAACTATGTGTCAGATTCAAGAGAAAGCAAACCTTACTGCATCCTTATAGGAGTACCTTCAATGTGAGGAAATATACTGGCACCAATGGTCCGTGGTTTGTTAGCTGAAGGATGTTGACAACAATACTAAGTTCTTCCGCACTATTGTCAACAATTGGAGGGGTAACAACATCCAAAGATTAGAATGTCGATGCCAGTCAAGAGACCATTGTCCCGCACACTAAGAAGTTTTTCACTATTGTGGAACAGCCAAAAAACACCAATGAAAAATGTGCCCTTTAAATGCCTACCAGAAGATAAGGAAAAGTGGCGTGAAAGGCTTCAAAAGTGATGAAACCATGGCTGCATGTCACGGCCTGACTTTGAAGCCCACTCTCAGGCCATGCAGCACTCGATCCTTAGTCTATCAAGGACGAGTCAACCGTCTCAACACAAGCACAACCATATGCTAAGCCCACAAGGTATGCAACTAGGCCTAGTGACCACCAACACTAGTACCTCCACCTAGTATGCACCACAGAAGGATAGAAAGCCAACACAACCACACAATAGATAACCAAGCCAACCAAGAAAGGGACACACGAGTTGGCCAAAGGCCTTATCCAATCCACTATATAATCAAAGAATGCTTGCAATAGATCTCCCACACTCTTCCCCTTGCCCAAGTTGGGTTACAAATGAGGGGTCCTCTCCTTTTTACAGGCTCAAGGCCTTCCATACAATATTCTAGACACACCCACATGTTACACCTCATTGGCCAGGAACCTTCTAGCCTTTCACGGTTCTAGAATCCTCTACATAGTCCAGCCCCTTAGGACTAGTCTAGAAACCCACTAGACCTCTCATTAAGGTTTCTCTAGAACCTTCCGGTCCCATGAGTTTCCTAGCACCTAATGCACAAAGCATCTAGGCCTTGGAAAGCATGGGGCGTAACATGTAGCTTTTAAAACGGCTTGGGATAGAGCCCTTTGCCTAGACAGCTTAACGGATTCCCTTCTTCCATAACTTTGGGAGGTCATCCTAGAGAACACGCTCAAACTTTTTGAAAAATCTTATTGGAGGGGGAAGTCAATACTGCATCGATAGCACTAGTGCCCATAAAGAGCTCTATAGAATCGTTGAGAGACAGACCTATTAGCCTCCTTGGAAGCTTATATAATATTATAGCTAAAGTTTTGCCCAATTGGTCCTGGATTTTGTCATCCAAAGACCCCAATCTGCCTCCATACAGGAAATACAGATTATGGACAGTATTCTGAATCCCCGATTGACCAGAATGCATACATTAAAAACTACTAGGGGGAGGGGCAGGAGTCATGTATAGGTATGCATATGGGAAGGTTCACTAGAAGGTCCTTCAAAAGATCATGGGACGGATGGTTTTTGGAGCTTGATGGAGGTTTTGGATTGATGATTCTCTTTTCAAGTGCATACTTCTCAGTTTTGGTTAATGACAAACCCAATCCAAGGTTTAGACAGGGTGACCCGTCATGGCCCTTCCTATTCTCAATTTAAAATGCTTGAAGGTTGTCACTAGCGTGAGATTCAACCTAGACAAAAAACTAAGCTAATAAGGTTCGCTATGGAAATGAAGAAATTGAATGTCTTGCCATGATTGTTGGATGTGAAAGAGATGCTTTGCCATGTAAATACCTGGGCTTACCTCTTGCACAAATGCACCACAGCTTAGAAGCCTGTCATAGAAAGATTTCATAAAAAACTTGACCTCTGGAAGACAATACTTATCCCTTGGAGGAACTCTAATTAAGCCCACTTTGTCAAACCTCTTGGTTTATTTCATGTTACTTTTCCCGGATGCCTTAACAAGTGGTTCAGATCTTGTAAGCCTTCATGAAATCATTTTTGTGGGGAAACCAAGTTGGGCAAAATAAGTTTCATCTTCTAAAATAGGATAGGGCATTTGCTCCTATAGGGGAAGGTGGCCTATTGATTAGGAGGCTTAGGCTGATGAATACAGCATTACAGCCCTATTCACAAAGTGGTTGTCGCGGTGTGCCAATGAGGCCAACCAGTAATTAGCAAAAGATACACCATCTCACTTACTTGGAAGGCTATTTATTACTGCAAATGATTAATTCTTAAAGGAATAGTAGGATATCATTAGGGAGAGGTTAAAAAACCAACTTTTGGTTTGATCATCCTAGCTTTTAGTTTGATAAATGGATAGAAGCCAGGCCCTTAGGTATTGCTTATTTAGAAGTCTTCGCCAAATCCTCGACCCCAAGGTAATTGATCTAAACTTAGGTGAAAGGAACAACTTACCATGTCAATTGAAGAAGATCAATTTGGTTTAGCAGGCATATTATTCATCACAGAGAAGAGACCAACTCACCAAGGAGATCACTACCTATTAAGCTCTAGACAGACCCTTTGGTCAAATATTGCCTATGGTTTGGAGTCCCCATGTTTCTCTTGAAGTGAGGGCATTTGCAAGAGCTGCCAGATCCACTATAGATAAATTGAGGATGAAAGGACAAAGTCCTACCAAATGTATGTCTTATATGCAACGCCTATGAAGAGACATGCAATCACTTACTCTTGCATTGTCCCTTCAGGGCTGATATTAGGGTATGGCCCCTACAAACAAGGGTGTGGTAGCGGCGTATTCCACAATCTACACACTAGCTGTTAAGATAGTGGCTCTCCCCTTATCATGAAAGCTAGGATGTATCCTATGGAAAACTCTGGTCCTTGCTATCCTGTGGAATCTTTGGAAGGAGAGGAACGGAGGGGCCTTTGAGAGTAAGGTTATGAAGCTACATAGCTTGAAGGCAACAATACCAATGTAGTAGAATAACCATTGGTTAATAAAAAGTGTTCTGGCATAACAAGGAATGACCTAATCAACAATTTAAAGAAGTTGCAGCAACTAAAATTCAAAGTAGATCAAAATGATGGTCAGCCCCACTGAGGGAAGCATTAAAATAAATTTTGATTTGGGGGGGGTGGGGGTTGGGGTGCTTTGCAGATTCAGAACTTTTTATTAGATGGTATCGGGATGAATCAAGAAAGTCATAAAGTATATTTTTGATTAAGTATGAGACACCATTGCTAGGGATGAGTTACAACCTGCTCACTGCCCTATAGAGGCAAACATGGAAGAAGATAGGTTGAGTTGACCATGCAATTTTGGTTGGTAGTTACTAGATTTGATTGTGACTATTTATGGGGAAATTTCTATAACTGTAAAGGCAAATTGCTATTCATATTTTGCATCATAGTATGGTCAAAAGTTGTTTGAATAATTGGAAGTTGAACCCATATCATATGATGGGAGTTGCCTCCTCCGTCTTGGGCGCTGCTCCACTATGCGCTATTCATGGTGCTACTGTAGAGGAGACTGAATTCGAAGATGGACAAAGACATTCCGTGCTTTTGCTTTTCACCGCTTAAGAGACCTATTGGTTACTGCTAACCGCTTCTGGTCCCAAAGATGAGGGCTTGCAATATCCGATAGTTAGGTTACATACATCCCTTTGTGTTATAAGTGATTAAATTACAAGTTACAATACATAGAGACAGAGGGAGGGAGGGAGGGAGTATTAAACTATAGCTTATCAACACAATCGCTCAATTTAAATGAGGCACTTAATAGTCTACTAATAACACATGGTTGTGATCAACTTTTCTCCTTGTCTCAAACAAAGGAATCTTGAGTTTGCAATTACAAAATGTCTAGTGTGCAGATGTGGTAAAATATACCCAGCTTTTTTATTGAAAGAAGTTTTAGTATTTAAATTTGTAGGAACTTAACTTCTAGAGATTTTTTAAGCTCAAATAAAGCAACCAATAGACTAGGATAGTAGTACTTCTCACACAAAATCTTAGAATCAAATTTGACAAAAGAAAGAAACAATTAACTAATGCATTATTTGAAAAGGAAAAACAGTTATTATAACCATCACAAAATGCATTTTACGTCGAGGGACCCAGCCTGTGGGTCTCCTCGAAGGTCCTGTTCTCCCCTTTCTTTTCTTTAATACAACCGTTAACTTCATAACAAAAAAAAAAAACCATCACAAAATCATCAAAAATAAAATAAAGAGTATTTGTTTGCAAAATGGTGATCATCCCTTTCTTTTAAGAACGGGAAAAGTAACAGAGTAAAAAGAAAACCCATTTCAATATGTCCCGAATACCTAATCTTAGTACATAAAAGCATCCTAAACAATTACAAATATTACAACCAAGCAACAATAGACCAAAAGTTGAGAGAAATACTACTTCTTGCCCTTGCCCTTAGCTGATTTCTTCTTGGTGGGCAGAATAATTTCACCATATTTTAGCACCGGAATCTCCATCAAGTCAGACAACGCCCCAAATTTCTTCCTAAATTTCTCCACTTGATCATCATCAACAACAAGAGCAGATCTATTACCCAAGTAAAATGGGTGGTTTCCTGACCACACATCAACCGCATACTCTGGTTTGGTTCCACCTGTGGTAAACACATGCTCACCATTACAATAAACCTTGGCATCTTCATAAAACTGAGGGTGAATGTCGGGCTTCTTGCAAGTCCACTTGCCTTGGCCCATGTTTACCTGCGAAAAAATTCAAAAAGAGAAAATGGGGTGAACCATCTATCAGAGATAGAGGGGTTAAAGAGCCTTTGGAGTTAAGGAAAAACTTTTAGAAAAAATGGATGGTAGGGAGAAAGGGAAAAAAAAGAAAGAAAAACAAAGTAGACAAACTTCGAGAGATGATATAGAATAATCTGGGTGTTTTCTTTGGCAACAAGGAATTTGGGGTTCTGAGGTTTATCAAGATAAAAAAAATTATTAGCAGTAGTAGGATTGAGGGCTTTTCGACATTTGAATCGAGAAGTTAGAGAGAGACTTTGATAAAGAATAGCCGCTACAGGGGCAAAATTGCGGAATTCAGAAATGGGTTTTGATTATTAGGGTTTATATTATGTTTTAGCATCTCAAGAATGGCATCGAGGGCACTCAAAGAAATAAGAAATTTCGAGAGAAACAACCGCCAGATTCAGAATTTGAGAGAAGACGCTACATTTAGGGATGGAGTATGAGAAATCAGAATCAAGGTTATAAATTTACCTTAAGAGTGGGTTGTGATGGTTTGTTAAGGAGGGGATTCAGGGCATTCGTAATGGATAGCGAAGCCATCTTTTGCGCCTTGCAGCTCCAGAAGCACCCTCCCTCTCGCTCTCTCACAAAACATCTATCCAAGTGTTTCACTGGTCCAAAATATTAGAACAGGGGGATTTTGTTGGGTAGCTCTCAAGGTCTGCATATGTACACAAGAAATCTTGGAAAGACACTTGTATACTTCGAATGAGGTTAACTGGCCCTAATCCCTCTCCATTAACCAACACTGTTCTTTTTCAACTATACTGAAATTAAAAATAATAATTTTTTAACCAAAATACCCCTTTTTAACCTATATTTTCAAAACATAATACCCAAAATGTGCCAAATTAGCTTTGTACAAGTTGTACCGGTTTGACACAAAAATTTATCGGATTGGCACAAGTTAAATATAAAATCCATCCGGAACAAAAATGGGTCAAACCCACTCTACATAGGTTTGCCAGTTCGGCAAATTTGTGTCGGACTAATTGAGAGAGAGAGAGTGAGAAAACATGGCAAAAAAAGCAAGTATTTTGATTAAAAAAAGTATCATTTTTTGTACTTGGGAAATACATATGCTTGAGATGATTTGAGGATTAGGCCATGTAACATGTTGGATCTGGGTCACTTTGTAGGCCCCGACCGGGGTTAAATGCATTACGGAATCAAACTTGAAATGTCTAATATATTGAGAATGTTAGAAAATTGGATACAAAGGACAAGAAAATAGGCTTACGTTGGAAGAGACTGGAGTTAGGACATCTTTAAATAATGAATTAAATAATGGACATGGTTTTTATGAATCGGTTTACTTATATGTTGAAACGGCCTCTCGTCATAATCCATTTTTGAGATTGATTTTGAACTTAATTTATTGGGAATATATAATCTTTAATACTGGGAGCATTAATATATATATATATATATATATAAAAGAAAAGTTCTAAAATAAAAATGATACTTTATGAAGAATAAATTTAAACCATCGATTTTATTTTTGTGTAGGACTAACACTTTTTCACATAAGTCTTTAGGATGGATGTGTGATTTATCTGGGGACACAAATTAAAACTGCGTCCCTAGATGTACAAAGCACTTTAAATCAAAAGTCTAGGTCCAAAGCGGTGAAGTAGGGTGATAATAGTATAAAATTTTTCCATACTATGGTGGTTTGGGAATCAGGAGACGAAAACAGTTAATGATTTGGAACGTTACTCTTAATATTAGGTGAGTCAACTCTATGGTGGAAGATCAATACAACATTCTCCTTTCCCAGGTCTATGAGGTTTGTTTGGTTCTTGCCAAAAGGGTTAAAGTGATTTAGGAACTTGAACCTAGTGGTATTCTCTTGGTGAAATCATTATAAAAATTATTAGTAGCAGATCGTGTCATCTCTTCCAACCTTTTTTTTGTGAAGGTCTGGCAGTGTAAAGTCCCTATCATGTTAGAGCCTTTCTCTGGCTCCTAAGTTGGGTAGACTTTTTACCTTTGATCAACTTCACCTGTGGGGACTCCCCCCCCCCCCTGGTGAATGACTGCATTACCTGTGACTGCATTATATGTAAACAAGATGTTAAAAGTATCTTCCATCACTTCCTCAGCTGCCTTTTTGTTCGATCCATTTGGAACTGGCTTCTATGCAAGGCTAAGTGAAATTGGGTAATGCCTGACCGTATATCAGGGTTTTTTGTCAAGGATGATCTCCGCCCTTCTCTCGCCATGGAGGTGCTATGTGGCTGCTGTGGTGTGGACTATCTTGAAAGGAAATAAATGCCAAATGCTTTGATGGGAAGTCGAGGGATCTGGAGTCTAGTGAGCATACTGTTCTGAAGACTATGGTAAGTTAGGCCCATACCCATCCATATTTCAAGCCGTTTCATAAAGAGTTATTTGATTTCCACTTGCCTTATCTGTTGGCCTTGAAAAGAATGAAGTTTATCAAGGATGGCCGTTGGTTCCCTTAATCTTCAGGATGGGTTAAGCTTAACTTTGATATCAGTGTTAGAGAGAATGGACTAGTCGCTAGCCATGGGGGCCTGCTAAGGGATTCTTTGTGTGCTACTATATGGTCCTACCAGGGCAGTTTGCATCTTTGTTAGGATAATGAAGCAGAGTTTTGGGCCTTTTTCTTTGGGGTCTTTAAGCTGAAGAATGCATTTCAACGAATTATCATTGAAGGGAATTCACTCAATGTGATCCTTAGAGGTGGATGAACATTCAAGATCGTATTACCAATTCTTTAGGCTACCAAAAAATCTTGTTCTCTCATGTTTATCGGTAAAGGAACACGGCTGCCGACGAGCTAACGAGGGGAGGTTCTCTGCCTTAGGGTTGTTTCCTTCTCTTCTCTCTTTTTGTTTCCTTTCTCCCCTGTTCTTTTTTTTTGTTTTATTTCTTTTATTTTCTTTTGTTGTATTTTCCTTTCATTAATAAATGAAAATCCCATTACTTGTTCAAAAAACAAAAAAAAAACAACTCTCAAAGTAGATGGAGTAATATTTGGGGCACATCTTTTCTAGATATTAATGAAGATGATATAGCAGGAAGAGAAAGTGCTTTCGTGAATTTCTTTGAAAGAGCTTTCACAGCTGAAGTAAAACACATGGTCCCTTTTCAAAGTTTTTCGTAAGCCAAGATAGTGAGCGAGAACGTCGAAGGCAACAAGTTTTGGTTGGTTGGTAAGGTCAAGGTCCCCCGAGGCTTGATAGTTACCCATTAGCATTTTTTCATTCTTATTGGAATGTCAGATTAAAGGTGATATAGATTTATTGGTTAGTGAGTTGTTTGAGGGAGGAAAAACTAATAATACGAAATAATTCCACTTATATCACTTTTAAGCCTAAGAAACAAGCCATTGAGGCACTATAAGATGTTAGACCAATAACGTCTCCTAATCAGTACATAAAAATTTGTCAGGAAATTAGGCTCAAGCCCATTCTCCCTTATATCATTGTCCTCCATTTGTGTTTATCAACAAGGATCCACAGATTATGGGTAGTATTATGACAGCATATGAGTGTATCCATTCAAGACATAACATGGAGAATATCAGTGTAAATTAGGAAAGACTTTGAGAAGGTGCATGATAAGGTGTAATGAGATTAGTTGTTAGATATCATGAAATAAATAGGTTTTGGTGATCATCCGAGAAAGTAGATAGCATAATGCACATCTTCGGCATATTTCTTTGTCATAGTTGATGATAAGGCCACTGGTTGTCTCAAAACATACAAGGAGCTTAGACAAGGTGATCCTTCATTGCCCTTTTTATTTATCATAGTGGATAGTCATTCAAGTTAATGTTGAACTTAGTGAATGATATAGTTTTTATAAGGGGATTTAAAGTATTGATAAGCAGGACCTGTGGTTTCTAACTTACAATATGTTGATGACGCTCTCTTATTTAAAATGGTTGGCATGGAATGTGAAAGACAACAATGATTGAATGTTTTGGATGTGAAGTGGAGGACCTTCTTTGTAGGTATTTAGGTATTTCTCTCATATCTTGCAAGTGGCCGAGAAATGTATGAGATCCAATGCTTGATAAGTTGCAAAACAAATATGACCAATGAAAAGCAAGGTGTCTCTCCCTTAGCAGCCACTTACATTAATTATGTCCACTTTGAAAGATGTCGCTATATAGGATTCCTGTGGTATATATTAAACATTTGTTTTTTCTTTTATTAATAACTGGTCAATTCTATTTACTTTTGCCAAAATATGCAGCGGAAGTAGTAAATACAACCTACTACAATCTAGGATCTTACTCTTATTAACTTTAGTAATAAAAACTTTTATTTATAAACTGAATTGAATTACAATATGAATCAAGAACAAATTAGTAAACTGAAACATCAACTAACAAATAAATTGGGAAGACTTCAATTTATACTTAGGATTACCTCCATAGGATCTAGCGCACCCCACACCCGATTACCAAATCTATGGCAAACTGATCCTTAGGTCCTACTTGAGTTCTCTGAAATAGGAAGCACCTTGGCAATACCTCCTTATTCAAAAATTGGGGTTGAGAGCATAAAGTTAAAAACATAGGATTTGTCTTCACCCCTTTAACCGTGGGACAATGGCACTATAGCAGCATCCTTGACCTCAAAACAAAATTGTGTTGGATGTGTCCCCTCTCTCAGACAGCTTGGATCTATGATCATTATTACAAAGAAATATTATCCCTAGGATTAGATCTCCAATTTGACATGGATTTTCTTCTCTCATAAGAAATAACTTCAATTTACTTCAGAAATCCAAATAAAGAAAAAGACATGATTATCATGTCAATAATCAAAATATCAATGTCATCATCATCATCATCATCCAATCCTTATCCCAATTATTTGGGATCGACTGCATGTATCATAGTTCCTTCATTCTTCAAAGTTATAACTACTCAAATCTTCTTTGAAATATTTCCCCAATAAAATCCTAACCAAATTCGGAGGGAGAGGGGCATCCTACTATCAAGGGAGAGGGGCATCCTACTATCAAGGGTGTGTGGTCCTTGTGTGCCCCATGTCCCACCCATGTGGGGGTCAGGGCCCTTTGGCCCCCCGCATGGGTTCCACTTAAATAAGCATATTTAATTTCAAGAAATAAAATAAATTTTAATTTTGAAAATATTTAAAATTCACATAGGACAAATAAATTTGAAAAGAATGGTTCCAAAAATTCTTAATCACTTATAAAAAAAAACTCTAGAAGTATGTTGGATCCAATTAGTTAGGAAAGCGACTTTCCATTGGCACTATACCTATGCTAAAAGCTCATGATCCATAATTGCCTTCTAAAACCAATCCTAATGGATCCACACAGTCAATCATAGGGGCTCATAAATGGCATGTCAAAGCGGACTAATAAATAGTAAAACCATAAATATAGTATGTGGTTTATAAGTCCCCCTCGTGTATCCCACTTAAATAGGTCCTTAAGAATTTATAAAATACAAAAAATACCTTCATATTGAATTTCAAGAAATAAAATAAATTTTAATTTTGAAAATATTTAAAATTCACAAAGGCATAAATAAATTTGAAAAAATTGTAATGTTCCAAAAATTCTTACTCACTTTTAAATAACTCTAGAGGTACATTGGATCCAATTTAGTTAGGAAAGT